TTCCTACGACATGCGTATTCTTATCTCAAAGAGGAGGAGTTCATGTGTAGTATTTGGTGCAGTGGTTTATGTCTCTGTTCATCCAGTCTTTTCATTTAAAAATTCCTTGCTGTAAATAGAAACAACACTCATGCAGGCAAAGACTCATGACCGTCCTACATTCAGGAGCATTGCTAAATTGAAATGCATTTGTGGCAGATAATCTAAGCACACCAAGAGCTGTGTCTCCTGCCATTGCTTTGGCACACAGGGAGAACAAGAGGCAGAATTCCAGGTGTGTCTGACTGAGCTTGGATCCCTTCTGCTGGCTTGACACCTCCTCAGTCAAGTAAAATGTCTTTTGGCTCACCTATATATGTGAATCTGATAATTTTTGACTGCAATTGGTATTGTAAAAGAAAGAGAAGAGAGGCTTTGTTTAGAAGGCATAGAAACAGAATTAACAAATGGAAAAAAGAAGCATCTGACCTAAATTTCAGGGACTGGAACATGTCTGGGATGCAGACAAAAAGTCCAATAGAGCTCCCCTTTAAATTGTACACCATTCAATTCTATTTATCATGAAGCAGTTACCTGCTCATAACTGAAAAAGTACAGATATATATTCTTAATGAATTCAGATTCTCCAAGATAACCGGTCATAACACAACCTTGCATTAATTACTGTATTTCTGTCTCCAGAATTATGTCCTATAAAAAAAGAAATCTGAAAAAATGATCATGCATTAATTTCAAACAAACACACCAAAAAAAACCCCCAGAAAAACAGAAGCCAGAAAACATAAAACTTAAGCAATTTTTTTCTTTAATTTTCTAACACTGCAAAGGACAATTAAAAATGAGAAAAAGAGAATTTAAAAAAACCCCAAAACACTTAGATATTCAAAAAGGAGGAAAGAATTTAAAATTAAAAAGAAATATGTACCATTTAGAAAAGAGTTGGATCTTTTTTTTTGTTCCACCCTACAACACATTAAACAGTCAGTTTTCATTGAAGCCATATGATATAATCCTCTGAGAATAATTTTGTATCTATTTTCATTTTTATTTTTAATCTTTGTAGGAAATAAGATTCTAAAAAAACATTATATGTAGGAAAAAAAAATTTTCACAGTACAATTCATGTATCCACGCATTGTTCAGATTACAAGGATGTGGGAGTTTTGTTTTCTTTTCTTTTTGGTACTCTAAAAAGTGCTCATTCTTACAGTCAGTGTTTGAAATACAATTAGCAATGTCAGTAAATTCCATCCACAGATTTTTTCATGCAATGACCCACTCTTCTGCAGAATTTTTCCCAAACCAAAAGCTGAGACTTTGTGATTAACCTCACAGAAAAAAAATTAATCCTGAGCTTAATCTGAACAATATAGTTGTGGTCTGATTTATTGCCTGATGTCTGATTATCATTCATGCCTATTCTGTACGTTCTTTTAATGCTTCACTGAAATAGCAGCTGGATTTTGGCCTTTTATTAAATACCACTCCTTAGAGCTGTAGGGTGTAAAGCATTAATACATGTGGTTTAGCAGCCCCCAAATTAGTTTTATAGGGAAAATTATATTCATATTATAAATTAATTAGGTGAAATAAAGTATAGCATTCTCAAACACTGGGAGAAGTGTAAATACAGCAGACACCATTTGTAATGCAGATAATTTTTAAAGTGGGGATATTGGAGTGTGAGTTTGTTGGTGTTCCTGATGAAGATTTTCCCACTTTGTTTCATTTACATTTAGGTGCAGTTTCAGAGGAGCATTTTCATTTCTGTCCTCTGTCCACATGTGAGCATCTTGTTCCTGCTCTTTACAGCAAGGTCTCAGAACTTCCCTTACCATGACCATAAATTGTGCCATGCTGCTTGGACCACACAGTAGTCCCTTCTGAAATCCTTTGGGAAACATATAAAAATACCAGGATTTCTGCTTAACTTCACAGCTACCAATGAAACAAAAAATATGGGTAAAAGGTATAGATTTTTCCAACTCTTGACTTCTAGGAAGAGGTTTCTTTCCAAGTTAATGCCTCTGCATCATAGTTTTAAATAAAATAAAGATGTTTACCCATGTAATGGACAGAAAATAGAATTAAAACTCTATTTACATTACTTTCTAAGACAAAATCCCAGTTTAAAATTATTAATTGTAGAGCAGAACTAAGTGGTATAGCTCTTCTTCTTGGTCTTTAAGATGTGATATGGGAAACAGAGGTTTCAATTTATGCATCTGGCTTCTGCCTGCTGCCTTGCAAGGCGTGAAATGCCCAGGATATCAGTGAATCCACAGGACAATGGAAAGGCAGTGCCCCTCATAAGACTGAATGTGTTTGAGCATTAAGGACGTGATTAAGAAGGTGAAGCTCATAAGTGGTGCTATGATTTGCTCTCTGGTGTGAGGGTGTGTTGGCTCAGGACAGTGATTTCTTTGGCAGGTGTGCACTTAAGGACTTCCTCTTAAATGTGTGCCTGAAGAAAATTAGGGGTTAAAACTCCCACCTATTTTCCATCTACATGCAGGTTGAAAATTCCCCTGCTTATCACATCCCAACTGAGCACATTTTTAGGCTTTTCTCTTTATTGTCTGTACTATCTGTGCTTTTTGCATGTAGGCAGAGAGAATATTACAAAGGAAACTCATATCTCCTTCCTGTTTCATCTCTACATTTCTTGGGGCAAAATAAAATCTTACATGAGAAAAGCATTTGCCTAGAAAACTGTTTAGATTCATGTACCTGGTCAAAGCATATCAAAACATGTTTCTCTACCACCAACAGAAGATACCAGCATACATCAAGAATGAAAATGGGACAGTGATGCTAACATTCCTTTGTGAAATTTTTTTAAGGTCAGTAGTTAGGAAAAGCAAAAATAAATGAAAATTACTAAATGCCTTTATACATTCAGTGTTATGTCTACAAAGTAAAAATGTTATAAAGATAGTCTGGATCCAGCTGAAACTTTACTGATGACAGCGACAATATATCAGGGTACACCTGGAGTAGCTCAGCAGGGTAGATATCTAAAATCTGTGGCTTATATTCAGAGGCAAGTTTGTCTTTTATTTATAATATCTAAACTTTTAACTTTTAACTTGTAAATCTTTTCCTAGGGAAAAAAAAAAAGAAAGAAAAACCAAGACAGAATTTATCTAGTTTCATTTTTATCCAAGTAAAATTTAAGCAGGAATTTTTTTTCACATTAACTGTTTTAAATCTTCTGTATAAAGATTCACATTGGTCTAAGTGAAAAGGGAAGTAGGACTGCTGGGTTTAGAGAATCCAAATGCAGAGCCAAGAATTGGAGCTAAATTTGTGGAAGTCATATGTTAATTATGTGTGCAGTAATGTAATGCAAGTGGACACCCACCTGCATGGAATTATATTAATAATACTTGATAGTATCAATAGAATTTATGTGAAGGAAATACCATGTTTGATTTTTAAATATTTTGCCATTTTGTTTTCAATTTTTGTTTAACAGAAAAGAAGGAAAAAAAAAGAAAAAAGGCAATCTACTGCAGGTAGATTACATTGCCATGCAATAATAAATTACTTAAACTGCAAGTAGTCCAATACCTTTTATATAGCCCCACTTTGCCACACAGTTTCTTGTTCAGCAATCCCTACAAAAAGATCTATTAACCAAAACATATGGTGGTTGAAGTGCTATGGTTTTCTCAGCAAGGCAATATATCATACAATTAATTAAGCCTCTGGGCCATCTTGATATCAATGGGACTAAGTATTTGTTTAAAGAAAGTCATGTGCCTATTTGCTGAATTGAGGCCTAAAATTAAGGGGGAAATACTGTGTGTGATTACATCATAAAAGACAGCAATCCTCCGGCTGGACAGGAGGGATCTGAGTTAAGGATATACAGACTTGTGTCCAAATGCTTTCATTTTTTCCCTCTGCTGACAGAAAGCAGATTTTCCCACACTTTTATAAAGCGTTGTACAATGCAACTTACATATTATGGCACAAACTGGAAGGTCCCAAGTATTCCAACTACCTCCCATATTATCCCACATTATAATCTCAGTATTATTTCAGTAGAGCTGGAGGGCATCTGCTAGGACAGGCTCTTAGGACAGGCCCAGCCTGCTCACTTGGTTAATGACATTTCTCAGGTTCAACAAATGCGCTTGTCTTGTCTTCATGCCTCAGTGCACTTCCAGTGCCAGTCACAAAAGCCACTCGGGCTGCTCTGCATGATTGTGCAATTAAAGAGCACAGATAATTTCCAAGACTATTTCAAGTATAAACACGGGCCAGTATCTAAGCGCCTTTTAATCTAACGAAGAAAATACAAATGTTGAGAGGGGAATGAAATTATAATGTGAGGAAAATAGCTTGTGCAAATAGTAGTTCACCTTTTCTTTGTTCTTGTTGCTCTAAATATAGTTGACAAAATTATGAACTAAGAAAAGAGTCCACAAAGCAGAGTTTCTCCTCCTCTGCCTGCATCTATGATGAGTGTAAAGACAGATTACAGAATTCATTTTTAAAAAGTTTATGCTCAGCCTTTCTGAAGATATACAGAAGTTTAAATAGTAGCTCTGAGCCAGGATCCTGTTCAGCCACAGGGAATCTATCCTAATAATTTAGACAATCTTTAAAATGAAACTATTTGCTAGACAATCTCTTTGAATGTGTCATTGTGGTAGGTAAAAAATCATTCTGTTGCACAGAACCAGCACAACAGCTCTGAATCTTTGTGGCTTAAGTTACATCTGGGGACTCTGCTTAAAGAAAGGGAAATGTTTCCCTTTTAAAAAAAGGAAAATTTAATTTTTGTATTTTGAGGCAGTGTGATGGAAGAGACCCTCTTTTGCTAATACTTTGTAGTGACAAAAGGATTTCAAAAAGGAACATTTGAAATAAAATAACATTAGGTCGGATTGAAGAACTTATGAAAAGCCTACTCCAAAATAGCAAAGCTGCTTCATTTTCCATTCTCTGAGCAAATCACATGCTTAAGCAAACTGCACTGTGTTTTTCAGAGGATGCCTATAAAACTCAAGTCCGAATTGATGATGAACCAGCCTATTTGGACATTCTAGACACTGCTGGACAGGTGAGTAATTTTCCAATGAGAGTCACTCAATCAGAGATAAACTCAAAGATTTTAACCTCAGAGATGTGGGTCACAGTGCTTAAAGTTCCCTAGTCAAGCATAAAGGAAGCAGTGGCAGAATAATATAGAGGGATTAACAAAGGGGAAGATTAAAGTGCTGCAGCATAGAACAGTATAACTTCCAAATCTCATCAGAGGAGACAGACAGGCTGAAATGATCAATAGATAAAAAGACGTTTGTTTCTTTTCCTCTTGTACGCAGGAACATCTATCACAATAATGAAATTAATAAATACTCTGTTGTTTGTCTTACATTTATCTCATTCCTCCCCCTCTATATGTATTACAGGAATTTTCTGGTCTACTTGTAGACTAAGTATTTTGTTACATTTTGTCTTCTCCCCACATTGTATCTAAATATCAAATGCTCACCTGTAAGAAAAATATTTCTATGCCAAAAGTGTTACATATGCAGGTTTTCCAGAGAAGCTGTGGCTGTTCCATCCCTGGCAGTGTCCAAGGCCAGGTTGGGTGGGGCTTTTGAACAACCTGGGATAGTGGAAGGCATCCCTGTCCATGGCAAGGGGATTGGAATGAGATGAAATCGAAAGTTCCTTCCAACCCAAATTCTATGACAGCATGTCTGTTTTCAGGGAATTAAGCTTCATATGCAGTGACGAAGAGGAAAGGGTTAAATACAATAATTTCTTCTACTCAGTTCATTTCCTTTCCACCTCAAGATAATGTTACTATTTAATTAAAGTGCTGCCATTTGCTGATCTTTTCCTCAGGTGTGTCTCAGGGTCTCTTTGAAGGTTTTTTTCTTGAGTTTCCAGAGTGTGTGTGCACCTCGTGCAGAATCACCAAAGCAACCAAAAAGGACCTTGGACACACTTAAATAAACAGGGAAGTATTTGGGAAGAAAAAGACTGGTAACCTTGTTCTCAACTTCCTAGAGGTCTGAATGCACCTAAGCTAGGCACTGCAAATGGTGGGGAATGCAGTCTGCTGCCAGAAATTCAGCTATTGTCAGTAATTTCCACATATATGCAATTTTTTCATTGTTTAAAAAAAAAATTGATCGTATGAAAAGGCTAGAACTATACTTCATCCTTAATTTATGGGAGGAGGATATGATTACCAAGGTTGTGAATTTTGTCAGAATAAACAGGGGTAAGGAAAGAAAAGAAATCAGAATAACTCAGTCAAAGAAAGGTGGTGAGCACAATAGTACAAAAGAGCTGGAGTTTTGTCTCTAAGTTACATCTCTATTAGGAAGCAAAAATTCCACATTATTAGATGTCCATGGTATGTAGTGACCAAGTAATGAAATGTTGTGCAGACATTTCATGGAATCACAGAATTTTAAAAGTTGTAAAATATCTTTAAGATCATTGAGTCCAACCATTAACCCAGCACTTCCAAGGCCACCACTGAACCACGTCTCCAGGTGCCACAATGTGCTTTTTAAATTCCTCAAGGAATGTTGACTCCACCACTTCCCAAATATCCCGGGCCAGGGCTTAATAATCCTTTCAGGAAAGAATTTTTTCCTCATTTCCAATCTAAACCTCCCCTTTTTCCTCATCCTTTTCTCTTTGCAGCAAGCAGAGGCGTGTGCAGAAGCACCACACTCAGCAGATTTATCATCCCAGGCCATTTTACAGCCTGGGCATAGCCATTGTACTTCTGTTGAAATGTTGAAATGAATCAACCAAGTTGATTTGATAAGAGCAAATCTCTGTTTTAAATTCCCCTGATTGTCATCACTGAAACACATTCCCAGCATAACTAGGAAGCTCTTCCCACTTTCCCTCCCACGATTTTTCAGGAGCTGTCTGTTCTAAGTGTCCTGGATTTAGCTGCTTGTCTTTGTAGATGTCTTTGGATTTGTTGCCTCTCTATCTTCACTACACAGCTCCAGAATAAATCAAGACCTAATCCAACTCCCATTGAAGTCAGCAGCTGAAATAGGCTCTTTCTTCACAAAGCTCTTAATGGTGCTCTCACTGAAGCTCACACAAATTCTGCTCTGACTTTGGTGACTCAGGGTAAAAATCCAAAGCACCCATTTGTGCTGCTGATGTGTGCCTTGGTGGTGCCTAGTTGTTTTTATTTCCCTTGGTTTTATGTCAAATTGGAGATGGTGTTACAGCTTCTAAATCAGGCAGTGGAAAATGGAAAACTCATTTGTCTGGGTGTCCTCACAGTCATAAATACTTCGTCATCAACTTTGAATAATGACTTTAATCACTTCAGGACATCAAGGAGCCAAAATTGTGATTCATCCTTATTTGGGAAGTACAAAAAATCAATAGTGAAACCAACTGAATTTAATGTATTTTGTTGTTGCGCTGGAGGACATGTTTCAACAAATATGTTTCTCCTTTCCCTTCTGTACCTATGAACTAATTAAGAATTTCAACACTGACCAAATGAGCTACTAATAATTAACACAGTTTTTAATAGTCAAATCTAGACTTAAAAACCCACGTGTGATTTCATACCTGCATTGCAAAAAAAAATCTTCAATACTTTAACTGGTAGATCCAGTTTGATGATGCAAAACATAAATGGTGCTTCAAAAATACATTTATGTTCTCAATTTTCTGAAGTTAAAAAAAAAACAACCCAACATTCAAACAATGGGAAAACAAGAAACATTGTTTAACTTGCTCATCTAGTTACTGATTTTTCTCATGTGCATGTACATGAACACTATATCATAGACCAATTGCTCATCTCAGGAAATAAACTGATGTTCACTGGACTCTGGATACATGTTTTATACACCATCATTTGTCCTTTGGTGCTCTTCCAATACTGTTTTCCACTGAAAGCAGAACAAGAGGCATTTTCTTAAAGAAAGTAAGGGCTGGTGCAAGCAGTTATGCTACACTGAACTCACTACACCTTCTTTTCACCACCCTCTACACCTGCCAGCTGGGCAGCCTGCGTTTGCTCACCCCATTTAGCTTCAGGCATAACATGCTCGCCTTAGAGAGTTTCAGATCAGAAGAAGGCATTGATGTAGCTCCTGGTAGCTGGATTGTCATAAACAGACCTAACATGAGCTAATCCTACCAAAAAAAGCTTGAAAATATGGTATGCTGCAAGGAAATGAACAAAAAAAAAATGATGCTGGTATTCTTTTTCAGTGGCTCATCTGAATCTAGAAGAAGCTGCCAGTAAATCCTTTGGTTATTTATCAACGATGCCTCTGGGTCTTTAACTAGAAGTATTATTCTCATCCCAAAATTTTTCATTTTGCACCAACACTTCAATTAAAACAAAAAAAAAAAAACAACAATAAAAAGAGAGAAGCACATAGAGCCAAACACGTTAAATGTGAGATTGAGATCATATTTATAAAACTGAGGAAGTTTATTTTTTAGCTTTTAACTCCCAAGGCTAGCTTCAATATGGCATGTGGAGTCTATAGGACAAACTGCATGGAAATCTGAAAATGCAAATTAGTATCCATAAAGATAGCTTGAACTTCCTTGTTCATCCACATGGGACATTTTTTGAGTGACTTTCCCTTGAAATTCACCCATGTCCACTGAGTTTGGAAGTGGCGTTGCTGGAAGTGATTCTGGGATTTCCCTTGTCTTAACCAATGCACCATAAAAATAATGTGCTTTTACATGAATTTAATCCAAATTGACACAAACCCTTTCTTTTCCAGCAAACTTGCAGGTGCAAACAAAAGGACATTCAGCCCTCAAGCACTCTATACTGCATTCAGCTCCCCTCACAATTATTCTCAGAGAGTGACAGCCCCCAACTGCTCAAACCGCACACAAAAAGCCTCCACACAGAGTTATAGAAACCTTCTGTTCGCTCATTTGCGCTTTCTCACCTTCTCTTCTAGCTTAAAAATATGTTGCTACTTCTGGAGCCCAGAAGTATGCTCCTCATGGAGCACACACAGCAGTTATCTCTCCCGCTGTATTTATAGACTGTTGACTGACACAGGAGCTTTTATTCCTGCCACAGCTTTCCCCTGTATGACACATTACCCAATCTCTCCGTGCAGACCTCACGCCGAACGCTAAAAGAGCAGCAGAGTTTCCTTCACGGGAAAACAATCTGATCTGACATGTAAAAGAGGCAGAAATTGTTTTCAGATACAAAGCAGGCAAGTATGTGGAAAAATGGGTTTCTGTACCTGTCAGTGAGACAATACATTCCGAGATTATTGCACCAATTTTTGTTTGCTAAAACGTGAGCTTTTTATGATAAACTTAGTGCACCAGTATATTTCCCAGGTGTGAGTCAGAGACTTGAAAAATGGGCCCTAAAATGTGATGGCATGCCATTTCAGGGAGATTTTCCTTTGTCTGGAGTTGTGTGCGCATGAATTCATTTCCAGGCAGACACTTTTCAACCTGACAACAGCAGTGCGCTCTGTACCGAAATCCATCTCTCAAATTGCCAGCAAATCACAGGACATGTTTATCCTGCCAACCTGCAGGACTATGATTCTTGCCCCCTGCTTCAAGCTGTGAAGAGGAACCATATTAGTCCCAAGAGCCCTTCAGATAAACACACTTTCTCAGACTAAACACTATAGTCTGATGATTCACTCAGGCTGTTATCTGAGACCCCTCTGCTTATTATCTAAACATGCTGCTCTAATCCTGAATCAATGGAAGTGAAATCTCAAAGTACACTAGTGCAGCTTATCTCAAGGAAATGTAAAATGCCTTTTTGGCGGTAATTATGTCTTAATGGGCCTCTACAGCATGTTCTTATAAGGGGAAAATAATTTTATTGCACTTTCTGCTAGGTACTGTAGTGCATAAATGAAATCCATTTTATTTTTAAAGCATAGGGATATTGAAGCAAGTAGCAACTATTAACACAGTGTATTAGGTGAGAAGAGCACTAGTTTTATTTCCTTTGTACGTTGTTCCACAGGCTGTTGAAAACATACTTAGAAAGTATAAAATCACAATGCTGAAATTTTTCTGGGGTCTTGAGACAAGTTGTTCTGT